ATGCATATGTAAGTAAGTAGCTATGATTGAGGCTCATCAAAGCAACAAAGAGTTTATTACCAGCATAATTTATCACACTAACATGATCTGATTCCAAACTTAAAACAATGTGTAAGTCAAGGAGCTCTATTGGTGCAGAGGTTCAAGTGCTCAGCTGCAGCCCACACCTGCCAGTCAGGGAGAACGTTGTGACATTCTGCTTCTGTAACCATTTGCAGCCGTGGGAACCAGATGGAGGGTTGTCTTCTGTCCTTTGGGTTTGCTGTGAATTAGATGCAACCCCATGGCAGCGGGCTTGGTCTTAGGACATATGTATTAGAATTGGATGAAATAAAAACAGGCAGTGCGACAATTACTGACAGTGTAAGACATGACAAAATAATAATGACTTGTAACATCAAGAGTTCATGAGGGAGTGGGGAATGGGGAGGGAGGGGAAAAAATGAGGAGCTGATGCCAGGAGCTCAAGTGGAAAGTAGATGTTTTGAGAATGATGATGGCAACAAATGTGCAAATGTGCTTGACACAATGGATGTATGTATGGATTGTGATAAGTGTTGTCCGAGCCCCCAATAAAATAATTTAAAAAACAACACAAAAAAAGCCCCAAACAAACAAACAAACAACGAAGCAGAGTTGAAAAGGGACAGAACTTCCAGAAGCGAAATTATAATCTTTGAAATGAAGAAATCAGCAAATTTATTATACAAAAATAAATGCTAATTTAAGACATGCCACTCTATGAGGGATCTTCAAAAAGTACCTGGAAAATTGAATTAAAAGATAATGAGAATTTTCCATGAGCTTTTGAAGCTCCTTCGTACAAGCCTATGGGAAAAGTAGTGGCTTTTCACATATTTCTGATAAGGATGCCAAATGACAAAGACGCTGTTTAGGTTCATCTGTTACTATGTTCCCATCATCTCAAATGTCTAGAAAGTTTTCTAAGTAGGGATAAGGAGGAAGGATCCCCTAAATTACTCAGCAGGTAACCTTGAATGAAAATCCAGGATTGGACAGAGAAAGAAAATCACAACCCGGTCTTGCCCGTGGGCGTAGATTCAAACCATCACAAAGGTTTAATAATGAGTTAAATAAGAAAGTATAACATTTGTTGGGTTTGTATCAGACATGCAGGCCTGGCTTACACCCACACCAAGTCTACTCAAATTATAGGAGAAACATGATACCATCGCCACCTCAATGCATACAGAGACAGCATTTGATAAACTTTCCGTCAGAGTTGTATAAAAGTTGTTAGCCAACTAGGTGTCATTAGGTGTTGTCTATCAAGTCAGTTATCCCAGTGCACTGCACAACCAAACACCGCTGGGCCCTGCACCATCCTCACAACTGCTGCTATGTTAGCACCCATGGTTGCCGCTACTGTGTCAATCCATCTAGCCAAAGGTCTTCCTCATTGTGGATTGCCACAATGGCTGCACCTGGTCTCTCCTGGCAACATGGCCAAAGTATAGGAGACACAGTCTTGCCACGCTTGCCTCTCAGGAGCATTCTAGCTGTACTTCTCAAACAGACTTGTTTGGTCTTGTGGCAGCCCATTGTGCTTTGAACAGTCTTCACCAGCAGCATCATAAAAATGCATCGATTCTTCTTCAGTGTTTCTTATTCCGTGTCCAACTTTCACATGCATATGAGGCCATTGAAAATACCATGGCCTGGGTCAGGCTTGGGTCATGGCTTAGTCTTCGAAGGAACTTAGTCCTCAAAGAAACACCCTTATGTTTCAACGCTTTAAAGAGGTCTTGGGCACCAGATTTGCCCAATGCAATGCCATTTGATATCTTGGCTTCTGCTTTCATGAGCATTGCTTGTGAGTGCGAGTAAGATGGAATCCTTGACAGCTTCAATCTTTTCTTAGCTTGTTGAAGTATTCCCTACTGGACCCCAATGTGTTGGAATTGACTGGATGCCAGTGAGTGTTTTGAGTGAAGTAGAAGGGAAATATCTTTACTTATTAAAGGGATCAAAATTATATCCCAATAAACTATTTGTTCTAAAGAAGACCTACAGCAATGGGCACAAGCATAGTAACAATTGTGAAGGTGCACAGCACCAGGCGGTGTTTCATTCTATATTACGCGGGGTTGCTCTGAGTCTGAACAGATTCAACAGTGGCACCCGACAGCAACAACGAGAATTGAGAAGGAGTAGGCATTCATTCCTCCCAACTGAGAACAGCCCTCCACATTGAAAACCCAAAATGATTTATGCTCCAATGATTAGAATTATTGGGGATAAGCAGTGTTGAGATATAAGAGTAGTATTTTAAAACTAACTGCATTTCTACACATTCAGAGTCAAATAAACAAGCAAAAAAAAAAAATCTCATAAAAAGACCTAACCAAAGAGGTGCATGGTCTTTCAGAGCAAATCATAACACTGTAGAAAGACATGAAGAGATAAGTAAGTAAGTAAATAAATAACCACATCTTGTTATTAGATTGGAATGAATTCTCAAAATAACCTGTAGGTTGAACTAAAGTCTGATCAAAGCAAAGGGCCAAGAAGAGTCATTTATTTGAGATAGTCTGGTATTGGCCTAGGCAGACCAAACCCCATCTGGAATGTTGATGTGCAACTGAGGAGGTGCCGCAGATCACTGGTGGAAAGCATGCTCTGCAGTAAGTGCTACGGTGACCATGGATTTCCAGTGAGAAATTAGATCCCTTCCTGACACATTCATCTCAAACTCCTGTGATACATAAAAGTTAAGTCCAAGCGGATTAAAGCTCATAAATAAAAATCAAGACTTCATACATTTTAGAAGAAAATAAAAGAAACATTTTTGAAAAGTGAATTAGGGAAGGGTTTTGGAAAACCCAAAGTATAAGCCATAAGGGGAAAAAAAGATAGATACGTCTATACTGCACCTTTAAATACCTGTTTGTCACAGGATAGCACACAAAAGTGAGAAGAGAGGCCACGAACTAAGCTTCCATCCAGGGTATGTTTTACAAAACACAAATAGCAAAAGGTTAGAATCCAGAACTTGTGGAGAATGCCGGCAAGTTAGTTAGAAAGGAAATACAGATTTACTTTCAGATTGTTGCATGGTTAGGTGCATTGTATAAATTGTAACAGAGTTGAACTGCCCACAGGGTTGTCTAGACTGAGATCTTTCCAGAAGCAGATCTCTGCTTGTGGAGGCACTGGGTGGGTTTGAACCGCCAGCCATTGCCCCACCAGAGGTCCTTTAGAATAGATTGCTTAAAGAATGAAGTGTAAAATGAAGGGATGGAAAATCAAAGTAAATCTGGGTAAAGAGTTTCTGACTTTGGGATGGGACAAGATTCTTAAAATGTACAAGCAGACCAGTCAAAGAGAAGGTGGTGGAGTGTGCACATTCCAATTCCCTTTCCCTGCTCACTCCATCTACCTGTTCAGGGCTCCCAGCTGGCAGGTGAGTAGGTAGAATTTGGAATGGTTGGAGGGCACCACGCCTCAGAGGCTTCAGGTCTGAGGGCTCCAGAGACGTTCATGCGGTAGACATTCCATGTTGAAAGCCAATGTTGGAAAACTCTGCCATTAAGATAGTGATGTGTCCCCTGGCGTGGAGGTCCACATTTGGCTGAGTGCTTGGGTTGAGAGCCAAGCTAATCTGCTCTTTTCTGGATGGTGGAGCAGGAGAGGAGACAGAGGATGGAAAATGCTGTGTTTTGTTGCTTTTCTTCATCTTCCCCACTATGTATTTGTTGCCAGTTGAGGTACTCCAGTGGTTGGATGTGAGCCCAATAATTAGACAATAGAAAATCACATATGGAAGGGACTCTGGCCTCCACAAGAGAGCAATAGATGGAACTCATAGCTCTGACCCCTCAGGAAACAGAGCTATTGCAGGAGAATGGCAACCACGAGAATGAAACCATGAAGGAAATTTGAGAGCTTTCCAAATTTCCCCTCCATTCTCCCTTAACAAATTCGGCGTCCCCTCAGCAATGACTCCCTCTCCCCCTTTTAGCATCATGCTTTTTATCCTTCTTACAACCTACCTTCTTCCTCATTCTAACTGCAGTAGGTTTTAAACCCCACAAGGGTGGTGATAGTGATGCATGTGTTTTTCTTGGAATGTTACACCATACTCATCTCATAGGTCCCTAAGAAGTGTACTTTGACTAGACATACAGGGTTGACTTTTTTGGGAAAAAACAAAACAACAAAACACTTTTTGGAATTTGAGTGACATTCTTTGCATATTGTTTAATATATGTCCGTCTATAACTTGAAACATTTTTATTTGAAAAATACACCCTGGATTTCTAGCATTCTCTATCAGCTTTCACGCTGCCCTGGGCTGGGGTCTTTACACCATCGGGTTGAATGACCTTGTCTCTGACACCAGGAAGAGGCCCGTTAGGATGCTGTGGGCACTCTTAAATCCTGCATCTTCAAGGGCAGTTAGGTGTTGGCCATGACCTCTGGGACAATCTGAGGTTTTCATTGCTGGATTTTTAGCAAGAACAGCACTCGCTTGGCCTAGCATTGTGGGAGGCTTGCTGGGATTACTTGACCTCTCTCATGTGGAAGGTGGACTCATTTAGTCTAGCTCCCCACTTCAGGGTACCCTTTAGAAGTCACCTGCTTGCAGCATAGCACAGCGCAAGGCCACCTGGTACATTTCCATTTAAATTGCTCTGCTCCCCGTTGTATCTATCCCTGTTCTGCCTGGAAGTATGGAGGTGCGTGACAATATTCATGAATGCTATTATTTGTGACCCATGTCAGCCTATCTCCAAGAACACAGCTGACGGGACGTCACTCAACAAGCCATTACATGGTTGACGGAGACTATTTAGTGAATCCAATGCACCAGAGCTGGAAAATGAAATCATTTCACTGGGGCTTTAAATCATTAAAAGTGGACACTGAAGCCTGATGTCGTTCAGGGTGTCCTCTGAAGGAACTTCATCTGGGGGGACAGAGGCTTTGGATTTTGTTTTGCTGTGTGTGGTAATTTTTTGTTCCCCTTTTCTTTCCAGGGGATGTGAGGGACACTGACTTCCGCCTGGCCTTCACCAAGTGCCCTCAACACACCTCAAAGAGAGGCCTTTCCTGTGTGTGGTTTTTGTTCGGCCTTCTGGTGCTTGCTTTGTCTTCGGCTGCCCCAGTTCAACTCCTCTTGTCCGCAGTGCATGTGTCTTTGCGAGAGCGGGTTCCTGCACTCATATGGAATCTCTACAGCCAGCATGTGTCACACCGTTTTTCTAATCACCTCGACCAGTGCCTGCAAGCGGCATCCCAACCACTGTGAGGGTGGTAGAGAAGGAGAAGGGACCCCTTTGGTCCCTTCAGAGCAGCGAGAGCTGGGCGCCCAAAGGCTGACACTTGTCTACTCCTCAGGTCAGGTTTGGGGAAGGGTGAAGGTCTACAGATGTTTAATTTTTGTCTTCTTAATCCAGTGTCCATGCACAAGCAAAGGGAAACTGAATCTTTTATATGTACTCTTTGAATCAGATGGATCAATAAATTTGGAGGCTAGTCCCATAGAAGTGGTTTTGTTTCGTTTGTTTCTTGCTCAGAAACGAGTTGCTGTCAAATCAGCTCTTCCTTCCGACGACGACCTCAGGTGTGTCCGAGGAGAACTGTGCTCCCTCGCATTGCCCAGACCCGTTTGCAGGGGTAGAGTGCCAAGCCTTTCTTCCAAGGCACTTCTGAGTGAACTCAAACCTCACCTTTTGGTTACCATGGAGTTTGCTAGTCGTCTGCAAACCCCCCACCCCGCCCCCAGTCTTTTATTTTCATATTTCCAGTCCGTATGGACTCATTGTAGTCTCTATTGGATCTTGATTGGGTCATGATTTACTCATTAATCATCTTTCCTCCGATACCCAGAGTGGGACAATTTGTTTCACCAAAGGGCCATGTCCCCATAAACCCCACTGGACCCAGATGCGCCCAGCGCATGTGTTTTGTCAGAGTTTGGGACATTTCCCTTCCCTGGTGGCCCAGTGGTTAAAGTGCTCTTTGCGCATGGGCAGGCTGCTGATTTGAACCCACCAGGACTCTGGGTGAGAAGTGACCTGGTGATCTGCTCCAGAAAGATTTCTGGCTGCAAATCCCCCTGAGGCTGCCCTGCTTTGCCCTGTGGAATCTGTGAGTCGGCACGAACTCGATGGCATGCAGCTGCCAAACAATGTGCTGAGGCAGAAATCGTCCCTGCCGAACTCTTCTGAGTCAGTTTAGACACCAAGTTCATTTTTTTAAATTAAAAAATCATTTTATTGGGGACTCATACAACTCTTATCACAGTCCATACATGTACCCATTGTGTCAAGCACATTTGTACATTTTTTGCCATCATCATTCTCAAAACGGTTGCTTTCTACTTGAGCCCTTGGTATCAGCTCCTCATTTTTTCCTCTCCCTCTCCCCTCCCCCCTCCCTCATGAACCCTTGATAATTTATAAATTATTATTATTTTATCAGGTCTGACACTGTGCGATGTCTCCCTTCACCCACTTTTCTGTTGTCCATGCCCCAGGGAGGAGGTTATATGTAGATCCTTGTAATCGGTTCCCCCTTTCCACCCCACCCTCCTTCCACCCTCCCGGTATCACTACTCACACCACTGGTCTTGAAGGGATCATCCGTCCTGGATTCCCTGTGTTTCCAGTTCTTATCTGTACCAGTGTAAATCCTCTGGTCCAGCCGGATTAGTAAGGTAGAATTGGACACCTGAGTTTATACTAGACCTGCAAACGGCTTCATCCTGGTTTGTCTCTGTGCTGAGAACTTGCATTTCCAGCCCAGTTGTACTTAATCAGAACCTCCATTTTCACACGACTACTCCTACCGTTCTTGGGATTCTTAAAGGCTACCACCATCAAGTCATTTCCCATGCATGGCGACCCTCTAAAGGGTTTCTGAGGTCTCACATATTTATGGGGGCAACTAGCCTCATCTCCTTTGGAGTGGTTGGTGAGTTTGAACCACTGACCTTTTGGTAGTAAGTAGCTGATAGCACTCCCAGAGCTTCTTCAGGACATTCTCTAAGGGGTGTAAATGCAGATTCTCAGCAGGAGGGTTGTCCATGAATGCCTCAGTCTCAAAGTCCTGGTGGACACACCCTAGTGTACTAGGGCCCTGGTGGTGCTGTAGGGTAGGCCTTGTACTACTAACTAACAGTAAGTTTGTTGGTTCAATCCAACCAACGAGTCCAGGGGAGAAAGATGAGGCTCTCCTCTCCCGTAGAGATTTAGAATCTTGGAAATCTGATCTAGGGTGGCTCTGACTTGGAATCGATCTATGGCAGTGGGTTTGGCTTGTGAACAGGAATATCGGTTGTCCGTGCTGATTAGCCCTGCCCCCGCCATGCTATTTAGGGGAAGTAGCACGTCCAGGGTGAGAATCGAATTTGGCAAGGTGACTTGTTTTTGCTGCCGGAGAAGCAGTGATAACCTTGCAGTATTAAGAAATGTTCTGTGCTACCAATTTCTCTGTTGAAATTAATTTTCTCCACCCCCTGGACTCAAGGGAACAGTAGGACTTCAGGGTCTTGGGTCACGGCCCGTGATTGCGGGGCTCAGACTCGCGGGTGGAGGGTGCAGTGCGGGAAGAGCTGCGCAGACAACAGATGGTGTGCAGGCAGCTTCTCCGGAGTAAATAATGCAGATACTCCGGGTCGCACTGGCCTCTGCCAGCTGGAGCTGTGCTCATACTGTCCACGCTAATATAAAATGCTTGGTCCATTTAAATCCTTGTCATTGCCTTATATGGGGAAAACGAACTCCCTCGGCCCGTGTTGGAAGCACCGCCAAACTGATTGTGAAAGTGTGGCTGGCTGGCTGCAGGCATTTTACTGCCTTGGCGGCGTGCGGCCGTTCGCGCAGACACCTGCCAGCCTGGCCGCCTCACTGTCCTTCCGCTCTGCTCTCTGGTCCAGGCGGGCACTTCCTCACTCGCTGCTCCTTCCTGCCCGAACCAGGGCCCAGCTCAGGGGGAAGAGGGGTCCGTGTTCTTTGGCGGCTTCTAAGAAAGTTGGGGTCCATTTGTGCGCTGCTGCTGTCTGCTGTCCGCCTGCCCTCCCGAAGGAAGAAAGACTGCTCTGGTTTCGTTAAGGAATAAATCATTGTGCCGGTATGGGAAAATGACGTCATGATCGACGCGATCTGGACTGGCTTTGGGGTTGTGGACGTGTGGCCAGAGGAAAGGCAGAAGGAGCTGGTGACGCCCTGCCCTAGTGCTTCCAACGTGGCACCGGCCCTAGTCCATCGAGGGGAGTGGATCAGGCCTGGTTCACTATGGAGGATGGGAAGTCACAAAGTGTGTGCTTACCATTCCTATGCGGTTGAAAGCCTACCCCTGAGTGCTTTTCTCTAAAAAAAGAAAGACAAGAAGAAACAAATGATGATCAAGGCAATCGGTGTTCAATGTCGAGACAGCAGACAATACAGGAGATTCTCTGGGAGGTGCAAATGGTGTGCGCTCAGCTTCTAACTGGAAAGCGGGTCTGTGGAACCTACCCAGCGGCACTGCGGAAGGAAGGCCTGGCCATCCGCGCCTGTAAAGACTGCAGCCAAGGAAACCCCCAGGGCAATTCTTTATGTGCCGTGTAGGAAATATGTCAGAGATTCAAAACAAGCAAACAATCCAATAACAGCAAGTCAATTCTGTCTCATAGTAACTCATACACTCACTCACATTCACATCACTCACAAATTCACATCACTTACTCACTACACACACACTCACAAATTCACATCACTCACACTCACACACTCACTACATACACACAAATTCACATCACTCACTCACACACTACATACACACTCACAAATGCACATCACTCACTCACTCACTACACACACACAAATTCACATCACTCACTCACTCACTACACACACACTCACAAATTCACATCACTCACACACTCAC